CGGAAGAGGAATGAAAATTCCGAGGACTACGAATACCACGAGGACGAGGACTATGAATACCGCGAGGACGAGGACGACGATACGGATAAAAACGAGGAGGACGACGACGATACGGATAAAGACGAGGAGGACGACGACGCTTGGAAGGAGACCGACGAGAATCGGACCGAGGACGACGAGGAATTCGACAACGATTTCTACAAGAACGACACGAAACCGCCGTTGAAGACGTACGATGATATCATCAGACGGCTGACGTCCGAAGATCCGACCACGGCCAGAACAACCGTCAAGAGGGACTACAGGAACATCGCGGTGGACAGATACGCGACGAAGCGAAACGCCTTCGGGAATTTCAAAATGGTGCCGAGAAACATTTCCAGACCTCTGGTTCACGGCAAAACCGTGAGTTCTCCCTATGTTAGCTCCGCGTCGAATCACCACGCCGACAAGAAGACCGCCGAGAATTCGTCCAGCAGGCTGCTAGACTCGCTGGCCGACCGTAAATTCGCGAAGAATGCCAGTTGAGCGTCGATCGGCAGGAGAAGAAAGCCAGGTTGAAGATGGACGACGCTCAGGCAAAGACCAAGAGCCTTGAGCAGGATTACGACGAGTACCCGAATACCACCGATAACGAGAAGGAGGAGGATCTAATCAAGGCTGGAGTCGAGGAGGACACAGACATGCAGGCGGACGTCACTAACGCGGTGAGTAAAAATCTTTCCTGAAATTGTCTTGGTTTTCCGCGATCTAAGTTACCGAGATCGATACATATTCGCGGGATAATTTGGTCATAGACGAGATATAAGGATAGACCGAACATGCAATGTAATTTTCTGTCCCATGCTTTGGGGGCGTCAGAAGCCCCCGTACCATTTCAGAATTCCATTCCTTGCTAGCAAAACCGGGGCAATAATGTGTGTATGTGTGTGTGTGTGTGTGTGTGTGTGTGTGTGTGTGTTGTGCGGTATCACGGCGTCGAATGTAATTCTTGATATCGGAAACTTTTATGTAGAGGTACGCTCTAACCAGCGTGATTTTCGAGGGACACCAAGTCCCATAAGATGTTAGCTCTATTCTTATATCTCGTCTGTGATTTGGTATAGATGCGAATCAGCCGACACGAACGGGGATCGATATGCAACCCGCGTCAGCGTTGCTCGGTCGGTAGTCGAGAGATCGATGATATATGTACGGCCGGCGGCGGACATGGAATTCTTGTTCCCGGATAGCGGACAGATAAAGCAGATTTACGAGCGGCATTCTGTCCACCTGATTATGCGGGATTAGATGTTTCCCGGTCGAAACGGGGCCCTCGTCTCGCGTGCACGCGACCTTGATAATACGCGTCCACGCGCGTTGTTCGCGTGCTCGTTCGCCCGTGATCTATCGAAGGAAATTCGTGAGCGTGTAGGGTGCCGCGATCCACGCTTCGGAATCTCTGGCCGTGGTCGTTCGTATCCGGTTCGAGAAATCCCTGGTCCGAGTTCGCGAGCATACGATCCAATCGACGAAACGGAAAGCCGTAAAAGCCACCTCGAGTTCCTCGGTATCCGACCTTGTCGACAAAGATTAAGATCGTCGTAGCTCGATTTTACGGAGCACGCTCTCTCGCGCTTGCCTCTCCGCTGCTGTACGTACATATACATACACGCGAGAATCCTTATCGATGCTCCTCCCTCGTGGAGCGCCGTTTCTATGTACAACGTAGATACATAGAATTTACGCCAGCAGCGTGTCGATTCCGAACGTCACCGTGCCGTTGTTTTATACGGTACATACACTATGTACTTCCCTTCGATAGAACGCGATTCCATTTATCGTGAAATAAAGAACAAAGACGGGAATTTTATAGGATGCAGAGGTTTCCCTTTTCGTAGCCACACCGAAACGGTCCACACGATCCGGACGATCCAACTCTCCTCGTTACGCGCCACCGATGCGGCACGTCGTCTTTCACGAAGCGCATCGGTCCAGAAGATCGCTTCGATTTGCCTTGAAATATCCTTCGGCCGGAACGTCCTTGGCAATAGAGTTCGCGAACGGAACACCAGAACGGTGCCAGACGCCTATTTCGGTGCGCTTTCGCAATCCAGTCCCGTTTTCATCGATGACGAGACTACTCCTTTGACCATTGCCACACGCTCTTTCGGATGCTCCGAGTAGTAATCCGGTTCCGAGAACCGTTTTCGAATTCGTTGCACTTTCGTCGACGGCTGTTGGGCTCGTTATTAGCCGGCGAGATGGTCTGCGATGGTCGCGGCCACGCGATTCCTCTTACCTACGGGGGCCAAGATTAGATCGACCTTGGCAATGCAGACGCCGCCGTCCGGCCGCGGAGTGCTTTTATCCGCGTCAAAATTCTCGACCTGACGTCTGCAGGTACGACCTCGGAAATACCGCGGCTGTCGGGCGCCGCTCTTTATTACCAGAGGCTCGCGCGAAATCGACACCGCAAGGGTGGTCAACGGAACCGCGGTTCACTTTTTATCGAAGCTGAGTCACCGTCCTGTTCGATGCGCAGAATGTTGATAGATATACGTACACCTACACAAGGATACCTATTCGTTCTCCCGAGACTGGCTTTACGCGCTTAAAGTTACGTAGAGTTATCGCTATGGTGGTTTTCGTGTTTTTGGATAAAATTATTATAGCAACACGTTTCCACTGGTGCTACCATCGGGACTTATATGCGATAGTTCCAGGTAAAAACTACTGGATCAACCGTTTGAACAATGTTTTCAAGGGGACAGGTAATAGATCCCGTAGCGCAATAACAAATTCGAAAGCGGTACATCCATTCGAGGATAACATGCATTTTGCGAACCCGTCAGACAGCAATACGAGTGTAAGATAAATACATGTGTATGGTAATTGCCGGCGTCAGTGGAACAGTTATCTTTACAATGGTAATATTTCAATACTTGGTGAACTCTATGTGGGTCAGCCATCTGTATAAGCGTGTTTCAGCTAAGTCTTTTTCATTGTTTCCACACGTCGAATCCATCCACGGTAACGATTTCGACTAACGACAGTTTGCATACAACACGCGGCAAAAAATTTACATCGTGGCAGGGACGAACAATTTGAAAGTAAAATTCGGGACAAATTTCCTGTCGTCGGCGAACAGCTCTCGCCATGCTTGTACATCTCGCCAATCAAAACGTCGCCTGATAGATAGCCCCGAGGGCATTCGCTATTCGATTACCGTCACTCAACTCTTCGCGACAGGAATTCGTTCGCCATATTTCGAGGGTAAAAGCGGACAGATGGGTTTGAAGTCAATTCCGCGAAAGGAGCGCGAAGAAAATAGGAATTCCGTTCGCGCCATAGGGGACGTTGATTAGTGGCCGAGAATTTCGTATACACAGCGAACCCAACGAGTATCTGGTTTATCTCTGAAGAAGAACCGTCTACCGAAACAGACTAAAAAGTCAACGTTCTGGTCGCGAGAGCCACACGGTTCTATGTAGATACCCGAATATCTGGAGGGGATCCCAATGCCAGATGCATTAATCGAAGTCGCACAGCTGTGGCTCGTCGTGAAATAACACCGGTTGTGATTCCAAGCTATCACCGGCTGTTGCTACAAATCGTGAAACGTCTTTATTTACTCATTTGAAAATTGACTTATGAAAGGAACCAAAAAAAAAAGAAAAAAAAAAAAGAAGGGACCGATACGAGTTGCGTAAAGAAACCGAAGCAGTAGCGGAATCGACGTGGAATCAATGCGCGCACGCGGTAGAAAGGAGTTGCAACGGAATTCCAATGATCTTCTGGTAGCTTCGGTTAAAGCGAATTTACTCTCCGATTGTTATCGTGGCCGAAAAAAACGAAAAATCAGCGAGGATTTCGGAGCCGACTATACGGCTCGCGTGGTGATTCATCGAACGAACGCCTTAATTCTACGGTAGTCGGTTTCTCTACCCCCTTTATACGGACGAAACGGAAACGCAGAGAAAGAAACGGCTGTCGTCGCGATCGCGGTTCGGCCTTTTTGTGCCAATTTACAAAGGTAAACCCGCCACGTTCCATCGGCGATTTACTTCTACGTGCCGCGGCGAGACGGAGCGGAATTACCGCGTCGGGTAATTGAGCAATTCTACGTGCACGGTTGTTGTTCCCCGCGCAGTTTCCAATGTTTCCACCGCGAGCGCATACTCCGATCGCGCGTTATTAGAGGAAACCCGCCGTTGGCATCGGCCCGCGATCGCATGCTCTTCGTCGAACGATTAAGAAACGATTAAGAGATCATACTCGGAAATCGATGCCGTGCCTGGAAATACGAACGTTCCCACGTCTCCTTTTTTACCCGTCGTGTTTTACCGCAGATTTCGATACCGCGTACAAGCGGGCCCACTGTGCGAGATTAAGCGGCGTGTAATTTCATTAAGGACGGGAAAGACGAGCGAATCCACGGAACGCGCAAAGCTAACAAGACTCGGCGAGCGATCGCCGAGACGCGACCACGTCTAACGCGTTATATCGTGCCCGATAGATATGTAAATATAGCCAATAATAAAGTCTAGTCGTCAATCATCGGAGTGGATATAGCAATCTTTTTCCCGCGCGATGTATTTTCAGACGACGATCGCGATTGCATTCTCGTCCGCGATTGATCCGTCATGACCTACCTTTCGAGCAGAAAAACATCGCGGGATTAATAATGAGATCGTTGCTACGCGATCGTGCGCAAGAACGCGTGTTTTTCGAACGGTTAACGGTAGTCGCGACATTCTAGACAATAACCACGGTATCCAGCTCGTACGATTACGCGGAAAGTTTCACGGTAATCGTTGGCCTCCGGTAACTGGCTGGAGTTAGAGGAAGCAAGTGTGTGGTGTGCCAACACCCGCGCTAGTTAGCCCGTTTACACGCGATAAGGCCAAACGAGGCAAGGTGTCGAGGGTAAACCGAGGACTGATAATCCAAATTGCTAGGTTCTCTAATCGCTCTAGTCGACACGTCCTCCATATTTAGGATAATGACGCTCAGACGTTTTTCATCGAAAGCGAAACCATGTTTATACCGATAAAACCAGTATACATGTATTCCGATTCGTTGTTCGCGCGATCCGCGGGATACATCGCTATTCACGGATCACGTTAGGTCGTCACCTCTAACTCTTGCACAGCCTGGGGGGGTGTAATTCGTCTTGATGAGCATCTCCGTAAACACCCGATAGAGTTCGTAGAAGTACTGTTTACGTAAAACGCGTTTGGCGCTTCGCAACTGTGCTTCCTTTTCTTTTCTTCCCTTCTCTGTCCCCGTTCGCCGTCTTTCTCCGAAGCCAGTGCGCCTCCACGGCGGAGCAAGGGACGAGCGGATACCAGCGGTAAGCAGACGGATTCTCGAGCGTTTCGGCGAAACGGGTCCTCGTGACGGGGCATTAAGAAATGACTTTGCCACCTGACCACGCGGGGAACGCCCATAAATCGGTCGTAAAAGCATGCGCCCACCGCGGAAGCTCGTTTCGCTGTGTATAAAATTCGTGGCTCGCCGTCACTGGATTCTGTAACCTGGCAGAGAAAGCGCTCCGGCCACCGAATTCACGACCGTTCCATAAACCAACGACGTCGCTTCTCCGTTCGATGAGAAAAGATAATACTGCGCGAAAAATGTGTATACGGGTCTCCCGCGGGTTGACCCTGGGACGAACGCAAACTCGAAGTTCTTTCTTACGTAGGAACGATGTCTTTAACGCTAC